AGTTGATAACTGATTTTGGCAAATCTTTTCTAGATTTCCTCAAAGTCCCAACTAAGTGAACATTCTTCTCTAGCAACTTTCGAGCTAGCCCTAATCCTGTATAGAAATTGTCCGTGTATAGTGTTCGACCATCATCGAACAACCCTTCACAGAGTTCTAAGACCACTCTCTCACTCAGTCCAGTTTGTGCTCCTTGGATAGCACCTGTATAAATTTGTATTTTCCATGTGTACCCTTCAACAGAACATATTTTGAAAAGTTTCACGCCATATTTGTGTTTTTTGCCAGGGATATATTGCCGAAAGGCCAAACGCCCTCGCCAAGGCACCATAGTTTCATCAATCACCATCTCCTCCCCAATGGTAAAAACACTCTGAAAATTTGCATGCATAATGTCAAGTAGCGGATTGAGTTTAGCAAGTCGATCTCCTTCAATAGCTGCTCTATTATTTGAGAAGTGTAACATTCTCATTATCAGCTCGAATTCATTTCGCGGCATCAACTTCACTTCCTGATTCTCATGCAAAGGACTAACTGACCAGTAGTCTCTCAAAGAAGGCCGATTATTGAGTCCCATCCAAATGATGATGCCAAAAAAGATTCTCAAATCATCTGATCCTATATCGTGCCAATGATGAACCCTGGAAGATCTTGTCAGTTTTTTTTTTCCTGAAGAATCTGAGCAGCATAGGTGTTAGTTTGGATAGTAATGAGATCTAGTAGATTTTGCGATAAAAACAGTTCGTAGATGTCAATTAGACGCACTTCTCGTGGAATATCTACTTGTAGCCCTGATCTACTAGTGAAATGCAACTGTTTATGTCTACCTACATAAGCTCCCCATTGATGGGGAAGACATGCCAAATCATTGTCTCCTCCTCCAAGATTTTGTTGATGGCGGACTTCGTTTTCTATATTTTTCCCATCATAGTCCTCAGCGTCTGTGCTGTTATTACTGCTGTTATCTGTGCTGTTATCACTGCTACTGCAGGGTTCATATTCAGTTTCCGATTCTATGAACGGTTCGTCCTCACTTTCTTCCGAAAGTATATCATTCAATTCCTTATCAGTTAAAGGTCTTCCATTTTTATTAGCCCTAAAAACATATGATTATAATAACAAAACTAGAAACATTCCAATATACTCACATCTTGATAGTATGCAGCAAGATACATTCATACAATAAATAGAAACTGAAATGACTGACACGGCGTGACATGAATACACCTGTAACATGGTGGACACTTCGCAGTGCTCGATCTGTAATATTCAGATGTCAACCAACACAAATCTATTCACAACTTTGCGCTCCGATCGCTAGATCGCGCTATCTGTACCATGGCCTGCGGCAGTTGGGTGATAGGAATGAACTGGCCTCACGTGTATTATTTCTTGTCAGTCGTGAACGACTGACATGGCCGCTAAAGTGTTTTAAAAAATATACCTACCTAGCCTTCCTCAAGAATTCCGCAGTTTTGAAACATATTCTCTAAATATTGGCGATATTCAATTGACAAACATTATTACTTTTAAAAATGAATCTTCACTGATGGAAAGACAATAATGAGGCTGAATACCTCATCTTTGCAAAAGGCCTCCTCTCTCCCCTCACAGCCTTACCCTTCCTCCATTCGAAAATATACCTAGCCTTCCCAAAGAAATCCGCGTTATTTGAAAAAAATTACTACTATTGTTGAATTATTACTAATATTTGCTACACAATTGACAAATATTATCATTTATAAATGAGTCCCCACTGATGGCAATACACTCATTGTGAACAAATCTTTAACAAAAATCACAATATCTTGATTTATTATGATCACCAATTCGCGAACATATTATGCAACGTTTCCGCACATCATCAGATTTATTTAGGATCAAAGTTTTAATTTCTTTTCTATATTGTTCCATATTCGTTAATTCGGTCATGTCACTCATATTTACGATACACTCGAAAAATTTTATACAAAAAATTCCGCAATCAAAATCATCTTTTTGTTTCGCGTGTTTATGCACATGTACCTTCAAATCGATTTTAATTGATACATTATGTACATGATTGTAAGCCTCTACGAATTTGTTGAATTATTTAAGGTGTTTTCTTGTATTTTCCGCGTTACTATTGAATGGATCCACAAACGCGAAAGTCGATTCCACGAAATCTAAAATAACAAGGCAATGATGATTATTATTTAGTAACACCGGTAACGCGAGATGATTTTTATCAAAAGATATTTTTTCTAAAAAAGATTTAGAAATTTCGTTTCTACTGAAAATAACACTCGCGATTTCTTGGTACTATTTGATATTTATTATGAACATTTAGTAAATTCAAAGTGATATCTATTACAAAATTCGTTAACCAATTTTTATTATTTAGAGAAGAGAAATCTGACATATTTATTTGATTAAAACAATCTAAATCTTTGAATATCGCGACAACGTAATCCCTGTTACTTTCTGTATAATATTCAATATCGTTTACTAGCCCATTGGACAAGAATTGTAAATCTTTGACAGGTCTCCATCTATGCGTGATGTCATCAACATCCACGAAATTAAGCAAAGTAGGGAGATTATAATGGTGAAAAAACTCTTTCAATTTATTCAACATTGAGTTTTCAAAAAAATTGGGGTTTCTTTCAACCCTCTCATTTAGTTGTATCCCTTCGAAGTTATACACTACAAATTCGCACCACGGTCTATTTGTTATTTCTAGCAAGCCCTGTATTTGATAATAATGAACTGAAGTAACTTTTAATTTCCCGTCTTTACCGATATATTGGAGCCCTCTTAAAGTTTCATGTCGTTCAGAATCCCGCACTTTGAAAGGACATTAAATTTCGATAATCCCGTCATCATGCAGAAGTCTAACTGGAGAACCCCCTAAAAATGAAAAATTTTGATGGATAACTAGACCGCACTTCTTATATTTATATTTTTTGTTTTGGGCCAGGAACACGTCGAGCGCTGACTTTTTATAATCGATACCGTGTTTTATGGCTTCGTTAACGAAATGTTTAGGCGATATAAATGATTTCGCGAGTTTTGATTTTCTTTCATGATCCCTTGCCTTGCAGATCGACCCGAAATTTGACGCGGTAATTCTTTTCCTCCTTTCTTCGAACCACATAGATGACTCCCGTTGATCTTTAGTATTATGTTCAATTAAATTCTTAATTCTTTTTGACACTTTCTTCGATTTCGAACCGTTAGAACATTTATTACAATAAAAATCACCGCTGTAAGATCGATTTTGACTATCGCAAATTTGATGGATCCATCCGTTACAATTATCGCAAGCTACCCAAGCAACAGTACTATCGAGATCACCAAAACCGCAATACATACATTTATATAATTTTGTTTCATCGTTTGATTTTTTTTCGGGAAAACAGTACTCGCATATAAAAGAACCGCTGTAGGTTTTATCTCCATACGAAGGATCACATGTAACATGTATCCAACGTCGACAAGAGTCACAAGCCACCCAATCTACAGTTGAATCGAGACGACCGTATCCGCAGTATAAACATTTCTCTAACGATGTCACATTATTATTATAATTATTATCATCATCATCGTCATCATTATTATTATCAATATAATTATTTTCAACATTCAATTGATCTACTGAACATAACTTTTTTAAAAAATTTCCGGTGAAATGTGTACTTGGCGCGTTCCTAACTTTTTTATTCCACGTTTCTTGAGCCGTATGTTCGTTCATGGGATCGATTTTTTTTATTATTTTGTTAAGTTAACCCCGTTTCAGGAATGTTAAACATGAACTCTTTATGTAATGCAAGTACGTTTTTCCCAACTCTTTCTCAGATATCTAGAGCATTTGAGATTTTTATTACCGTCCAAAACATTATTTTTGAGATGACCGAAATAAGTTTCCACATAAGTGAAGCTCAGTTCTCCTCTTTCTCAAAATTACACCAGTCCAGAGCGAACAAAATGGTATATATTTTGATAGTATTATGTCCAAAAATTTTTCACTGAAATATTTATTAGTTGGCCCCTCATAAGAAGAAAATTCGTGAATTTCGATGATTTTTTCGTATAATTTATGGAAATGGATATAAAAAATACTCGTTTTATGCAATCCACGTTTTCCGTCAGTTTCATATCCGTCTTCCCTAACCCTATTACACTCGCGAAAATCTATATCAAGGTCGATGGGATCAGCGTTTTTTTGAATTTAATAAAATATCTAAATCTTCACGTACACTTTCATTCATAACGGGGCTAAGTAACAATATATACACATACTTTGAAAGCAATCTTCAATATCACTGAAAAAATCCATATTTATCACCGATGGCATAATGTCTTTATAGAATTCTCGCACCTCATTATCCGTAAAACAATCATTAATATCTTTACTGAAATTTTTCATGAGATGTGCGCAACATAAATGTATTGTTACAAGATCTTTCGGATGATCAACTTCATCGGACGCAATTTTATAAGTTGAATCAAGATATTCCATCAAATTAGTTTTATTACAAGCCCTGCAAATGGCATGTATATTAGCAAAGCTGAAATCTGTGACAACCGCTCCGAAGGTTGGCCATTTATTTTGCTCTTCGCAGAAAACTCGAAAGTCGTGGAAAATTTTAAAAATTGTTTTAGAAAAATGAGTACCCGAAATCATTTCGAATATAGGAAATATACGACCGGTAGAAATAGGTAAAATGGCGCAGTACAAATAAACGCGTTTTGTTATCGTTGTTGGCTTTCGAACGATACTGCCAGTCGCGTCAAAAAAAATTACCGGTAAAACATTCCTGCCGCTTTTATCTAGAACTTCGAATTGCTCTTTACTGAAATCCTTTACATTGAAAGGTATAGACACTTGTTTTATGTATTCATCGTGATCTTCTTGCATTTTAATCAAATCTAACATATTATTTTCATTTCTATCCCAATGTGATTCAGCTTCAGACTTTATCTTTTTTATCGTACAATCTGATTTTATATCCTGTAAGTTACCCGACTCTATAATTCGTTTTTCTGTTGATAAAATAGATTTCCGCTTGTATTCGGACGGTTTTTTATGTAACACTTCATTTTTAACGAGCGACCGTTCAATACCTTTCACGTGAAAAGTTATTTTATTCGGGTGACAAAAATTTACCGAAGTTGAATAGACTTCAACAGTCTGACCGCGTATAATGATTTTGAATTTCTTACAATGATAATTATTATTTTTACACTAAGCAAAAATTTTGATAGAACCGCCTTTTAGGTATTTTGGATATTTCATTACGGTGGTACAAACATTATTGATGAATTTCTTTATGCGATTTCGAAAATAGGAAGGGTAGTATCTGCTAACCAAATGGTTTTCCCGTATAATGTGATGGAAGACCTCACTTTTTATCTGAAAAGATCCCTCTAAGATGTTACACTCCTTATAAGAACTCGGAGGTAAAGAATCGACATTGACCGAGTTTATTGGGAGAATCATGCTGTTGGCCGTATCGGATAGGTTGAAATCCTTCGGTGTATTAAAACTTTCAGGGGTTATCTCTAATTTCCTCTCAAGCAAATTATCATCATCATTATTATTATTATTACTACTATTTCTATGACTGATGTTCTGTTTTAGTTCATCTGAAACTACCGGAGAGTTGATGACGTCATTCGAATTTTCCAATAACTGTTCATTTGAATGACATGGCACGTGATCTATTTTCCTCTTAATGATGGTACTTACATCGAACCGTGCCTTTTTACAAGGAACCAAGTCGGCATTTACGGGAGTCGAACACATAGCATATTGGTTATTTCCATCCTTAGTAATGGATATCCGACTCTCATTTTCAACAACCTGGAATTCAGGTTCCTTATACTGAAATTCATCAGGTTCCTCATACTGACCTATAGGTTCCTCATCATGGAATTCAGGTACCTCATGATCATAAACGTCATCTCTAATACAATATTTCTTATAATAAAAATACAGTTTTTTTTTATTGTGAGCATTTTCAAATTTCAAACCCAAATTTTGGCAGACGTTCGCGAAAGCTAAATTTATTGATTGATTGCATTTTACATCAGTATTCTGGAATGTTTCTATCATTAATAACTTCAATTTATTTGAATATTTTTCTCCGCGTACAACCGTCCTAAATATATTCTCAAATTCTGATTTACTTCTGTGAATATGTCTATATACTTGACTAGGATATTTGAGACCGATTATCCTAATAGTTTCACAAACATAAACGACAATTTCATGGTTAGGTTCGAAACCGATTATTGAATTGAAAGTGCAACGGGGATCAAAAGTCGAAATTGCCTTAGCAATTTTTTCCAACAACACGAAATTTTTATAAGTGCCTACCATGATTACGCCTACTATACCTGTACCTACCTACCTACAATTCAATATGAAATTATCGGCAAAAGATAGAAATAAATTATTCATAGTGAATTCCTTAGTATAACTTGATATGGATTCCAACAGTACTGAAAAGTACTTATTTTATAAACTGATACGAACTGAATATTGTGAAGTAGGTATTATTCAAATCGCGAAATGAATAATTATTTCAAAAGATACAGCTCACCCTCAGTTATCTTGGAGAACACAGATAATATATACTCGTATGTACAATTTTTATCATGGAGAACACCAGATATCTTTAACATAAGAATGTTCACAATTGTCTGGTTCATTTGCCAACTAATTTTGAAAAAGTGAAAGAGTTAGGGGAGTATTGGTGGGGATGATCTTATGGCGACTGGTTAGATGCCTATTAATAGGTATATATAGTGTAAAAAAATTCTACTATATAGGAAATCGAATCAAGGGGGAAAGCGGCGCATATCAGCATATCCAACGCACTTATAAATCAGCTCAGGGAATTATTCATTTTTATTGGACATGAAAATATTCTCCGAATCTTCAAAGGCCATCAACCTAGACTTCCATAAACTATTCTCTATGGACACCCATAAGAGAGACTCATTTTATGAATAAGTATACCAACATATACCTCTATTATCATACACTTGGCATAAATACCTACAAGAGATCTAAAAGCTCTCCAAAATAGTGAAACTAAAACAACCTCCTTCAAAACAACCCACGACTGGGGTAGGTACCTACCCCCAAAATAATTGGTTTTCCTACGAGCGTGCGCAAAGTAGTACTTTTCCGCACTCATTTGCGTGCGCAAAGTAATACTTTTCCGCACTCAGTGTTGATATGGGTGTTATCCGCACGGCGTCCGGATAAGTAAAACTACCCAAAAATCTCGAACATTTATATTCATTTTAGTTGCTGTAGAGTGTAGACTATTGTATGCACTATAAGAAGCCGTTATCCGTTTTACTTTTCAACCGTTTTTCCCGATATTTGTATTCCACCTCAATATAAATATTAGGAACAAATAATTTAATTTGTTATCATTATATTTTATTGATATGTGATTGTTTGTTGTTTAGCTATTTCTATCAAGTTCAACTAAAAATTATTCAATAAATTGTAATTTAAGTTGAATTTTTTTTATTTTCGTTGTTATCTGATATGAAGCTCGTATTTTATTGTTATATGTGATTGTTGTATAGTTACATTTTTCAATAAGTTATAATTTTTTTAATTTCCTTTTCATCTGATATGAAGCTCGTAGGATAAACGTTGTTCCTAACACGTGCGCAAAGTGTCTTTTCCGCACGCAAAAAGTAACACTTCGCGCACTTGTTAGGAAAATAACTATTTTCCAACAGCACCTCCGTATGCTTTTTGGTTCATTCTATAGAACTTTCAAACAATTCAATTCGAACAATTCAATTCGAACAATTCAACAATTTATATCAATAGATATTTTAAAAACAACTCATACCTATACCTACTTCAATCACTTGCTATACAGCATAGATATAAGCAGGTAGGTACGTAACAAAAAATATATTTTTCATTGTTATTTATACCTATGCTGGAATACCTACTGATTGAAAGTTGTTTGTAGGTTTATGTAAATAATTTCCAGGTTAATATCTGGAAATTTACTTTGACAATTAGTTGTAGATTCATGCGATTTGCCCTATTCGCCCCCATTAATTCAATGCGAAGTCATATCTGTGGTCATATGTAGCAAACGAAGACAAAATTACTTATGTGCAGTATTGTAGGAAAGAGAATATTTCGTCTACGAATGTACAGTGTGTCCAGTTTTCGATGCTTTTGCGTGATATCTCAGTTATCTTTGGAGATAGAACCTTGCGGTTTCCGCGGTCCTGTGCCACTCTTCTGTGAAACTCAAGATGGCTGTATCAGATTTTGCAAGAGTGTTTCCGTTTATGAGATACAGGGCGATTTTGAAAATTTATACTTTTTGGGCCCCCTCTATATTCAGGAAGTTTCTCAATAAAAATGTCAAATAAAAAACTTATCGCATAGAGAATTTTACGCAGAATCCAGTGGTGCACTTCAATTTTTTTTCGGGGTATGGTTTTGGAGATACGGCTCAAACTTATGATTTTTTAAATGGAGCACCCTGTATTTCATAAGCTCATTGAATTCCTTATTTTTTTGCCTTCAAAATGATATATAATGAATGGATATCAAATTTTCAAAATTGCTCAAAATCACTAAAATATTGAATTTTGATAGTTGGCTATGGATTTTTCTTATAAAAAACGTTCCAATTGAAGAAATATTTCTTTAAACCTTGCCATGGAGAGGTCAAAACCAATATCAACACTAATCAATTAACAAAACACTAAACTTTGGTACCTGATAGCAACAAATAAATAGTAATAAAAATTTCATAATGTAGAATAAGCACCTGATTAAATATTGATTAAAAAAATTGAATTTCGGAATTATTCAGTAACTTATTCATTGACATGTTCAAATTGATGTCTATTTTCCCTAACATACAGTTGACAAACTTTCCCAATACTTCTTGATACAGTGAGTTGCCCAACATACTTGAAGAACTTTGTGCAACAACAGAGGCAGTTTTCCAGGAATTACAAAGACATCATTCATTGATTAATATGTATTGAGAAAGTTTGTGATGGAAAATGGACATCAATTTGAACAATTCAATGAATAAATTAATGAATTATTTCGAAATTCAATTGTTTTAGTAAATATTTAATCAGGTGCTTATTCTACATTATAAACTTTTTAATACTATATATTTGTGGATATCAGGTATGTAAGTCTTGTGTTTTGTTAGTCAATTATTAGTGTTGAAATTGTTATTAGTCCCTTCATGGGAAATATTCCTTCAATTGTAAATTTCTTTATATGAAAATACCTCGAAAAACCCATAGCCCACTATTAAAATTCAATGTTTTAGTGATTTATCAACATTTTTGAAAATTTTATATTCATACATCATATATCATTTCGAATGGAACAAAAATAAGAAATTTAATGAGCTCATAAAATACAGGGTGTTCAATTTAAAAAATCATAAGTTTGAGAAACCCCGAGAAAAAAAAAATTGTGCGTCACTGGATTCTGCATGAAATTCTCCATGGGTCAAGATTTCAATTTGACATTTTCACTGATAAACTTCGTAGATATAGAGGGGGTCCAAAAAGTATAAATTTTCAAAATCGCCCTGTATCTCATAAACGGAAACAGTCCTGCAAAATCTGATTAGGCCATCTTGAGTTTCACAAAAAAGTGGCACAGAACCGCGGAAACCGCAAGGTTCTATCTCCAAAGATAACTGAGATATCATGAAAAAGCATCGAAAACGGGACACACTGTACAATGGCGGGAAGAAGTTATTACTGTTGTTAGTTAGTCATCTGTCGCCAGTCGCCACGCGCGAATTTGAAATGAAACATTTCAGTCTTGCTGTTGCTAGGCGGTCAAACTCTCCCACTGGATTCATTATTGTTGCGACGTTGCCGCATGAATCTATTTTAATAAATTATTATTCCTGCTTATAGACATGCTCATAACATTTTCTGGGGTGAACCTTTTGAAATCTGTCGAACTGGAGATTGTGATACATTTGTGGAGCTTCATGAAAATATAGACAAATGGCGCCGCAGGCGAAATTGTTTTGTGGTTCAAGGTTAACTGCCTTTGAATTGAAAATATATTTTTTTGCTGGGTTTGGACAGGGCCTACTTACTCTATCTTACCGGGCCGGAGCATCGCTTTCGTGACGTCACACTAGTAGGGACAAAATCAACGCAGTGGAAATTGTCTCTCCCGTTTCATTGATTCACCTCGGGAAAACGGTCACAGTTAGCGAAAAATATCAGGAGGTCAAATATGTACAGAAAAGAATTTTCCAGAAGATGAACCAAGTTTCACTGATAAACGATCATTAATTTCAGAAATATGGCATATCAAAATCAATTGACGCCATTCAGAATTGTCCTTTTTCAAACAGCTACCAAAATTCCAATATTCAATTCACAGAAATGATTCAACCATGAGAAGATATAGCAAAGTATGTAGATTGACTGAGTTTTTTTTTTCGAAATTCCCAAGGGCCAACGACAGATCGATATTTCAATTTAAGTAGAACGATGATTCAGGTGTTCATTACAGAATAGTTCAAAAAGTTCGGACGCCTCCCATGCTTATCCTATCAACTATGGATATATGCTGTCACTGACTTTTTTGTAGAAAATTCGATTGCCTACAAATCGGTATAATACACATCCACTTTATCTCGAAGGGTTTTAGCAGCGTTTATCTCTAAAGATGATCAGGACGCACTTTGATGACGTTAGAAATCCTATCACTCGAGTGTGTTATTACACAAAAACGCCTTTTCGGTATCAATTATTTTCTGCTGATGAGTTTATATTTGAATGATAACGTTAAATTTATGGAAAAATTTAATTTGAATATATTTGCAAACT